CCCATGATAGACAACTTTTTTGTTTGTTTTTTTAAGACTGGAAACTTTCCGGAAATGGTCCATTTATAAAAATAAAAAAAATTGTACGTTATTAACGAAATATCATTTGTTCATCAACACGTCTCATAAAACTTTTATGCTGTAATTTAATCATTTATGGTAATAACATTTTCGTGTATAAATTTAACGGAATATTCAATTGCAACAACGAAGTCAACCCTTGATGACTTTACATATATAGCTTAACCCTAACATAATCAGTTTCTTGAAACACTAAAAAACAAAAACTGTATATAATATAAACTTTAAACTACATGGGTTGCACTTGATATAAATTTTCTTCAAGAAAAATACGTCCATCTCTTCAGCTCAGTTAAATTCAGTACGAACCAGCGCCTTTCAGCATTTGCGGGATAGTTTACTTTGCTGTTTCTTCTGGGTACAGGACCTCCTTAGGAAGAAAGACGCGATTTCAGCAATATCCTATCCCTGTTATGACGTTTGTTTTTGTTTCTGCTGCCACGTTTAGCACTAGCACTGAGTGGAGTTTATAATACTTTGACCCTCCTAAAGGTGTAATCGGACTCCTCCGTTAATTTCCAGAGTGGTAGTATTAAGTCATTGGCCTGGTCCAACTGACGACAAAACCACAAGAACGCGTTCAGTCGAGGCAGGGCACATGTGAGCCACATGGTCTTCTTGTTCACGTGACTCGTCCACTTAGGTGCGAGGGTTAATTTTCACGAAAAAACTTCAATTGCGGGACAAAGTTTAAACCATTACAAGCTAATTTATTGTTGTTATTTTATGGGTTTTTTTTTTTAATGATGAAATGATTAAATGTGTTTGTACACATACACCAGTATTTTGTTGGGAAAAAATTATAGTCCACGGCACTTTGCTATTTTATCTAGACAACGCACTAATTGCCTGACCACAACGCCTAAAAATGCCTTATGGGTGAACAGAGAAGGGGATATCTAGCCATAGATAGAAGTACATGTCTGCGCTAACAGCTGTTCCCGTTAGTACCATGTAAAACCGACTGTCGAGTAGTGTGACATTTATGGCAATCACGAAACTCGACAAAATAACTAATGAAAACCGATGCCCCCGACTTTAAGGCTAGAATTCGAGGTTCGATCCCTGAGGAAGATGCCGAACAGATAGGCAGCTTGGCGCTAGAACAATTATAAACGTCAATTTTTTTTTGTTGTTATTTTCGTGACAAAACGATCAGAAATACATATAATTACTCAATATGATACAGTATCTAACAGTTCTGACAGTGAATGGTATATAAACAAGTTATATGAGGGATAATTACTAAACCGACTCAATCATTACAGTAATAAGTTTGTTGTCTTTTTTGACCATACAGTAACAAGTTTATTAAGTTTTTTTTTTTTTTTTTTTTACTAATGGTTTGTTTGTTATTAAGCACATTGCTACAAAATGGGCTATCAGTGCTATGCCCACCACGGGTATTGAAACCTGGTTTTTCAGCGTTAATAGCCTTCAAACTTACCGCCGAGATAATTGGGGACATTTTACTAATTACAATATGTATATATTATACATATATATATATATACCTTAATCAAAATAATAATAGCATGCTCTTTTATGTCGTAACAAACAAATAAATTAATGACAAATATTGAGGAACAAAGATTCAGAACATATAATTAAGCAACACGTGGGCCCCACGGTAGAGTAATAAATCGATAAATTGAGGGATAAAGATCTAAGATGATAATTATTCTAAATTATTGGTCAGATCCTTTTTAAAAATTCTTACACGTCAACTAACTTCTTCTCTCGGTTAATTATCACAAAACAAATATATTCAACACAACGTTAAGTCCAAACTCGCTATCTTAGTAGGACAAGAGTACTTCCAAAGTAGCACATAAAAATGTACAAAAAAAAACTGCTTGAAATTAAACATGACAACAGCAGTGTACCAAAATGAGATAGGTGGCGTTTCTTTGCTTGACGTGTATTTAATATATTTTCACCCTGAAAGTGAAATTATTTGTAATTTGAAAGAAAACAAAGTTTACTTGAACTTTGTTTCTCGATACAATAACAGACGTGCTGTAGTTTTTAATTATAAAATTTACGACACAATAACAAAAAAAAAACGTAATATTTAGCAAAATTTCATATTGTAAGCTACCAGAAACAAATTATACTGTCCCTAAAAATAAAGATTTACAACAAAAACATGAGACTTTCATTGTACAATAAAGAAAAAAATGAAGATATTATAAACAAAAATGTGCTAGAAGTTAAAACTCCAAAATTGGCAGACTGGAAGTTAAGTTTCTTGATAAAATTCAGATAAAAACCAACGCTTATACGCTGCAATGTTTTTTATTTTGTTTTTTTTTTTAACGTGACTAAAATGCACAATTGAATATTACAAATAAGTAATATTACAACCCTGTACAGACCTCAAATTACGTGCTACATCATTATGGCCCCCAGGATTTGAAGCTCCACCTATGTTTGGTGGGAAAAATGGACTGTAAACAGCACGTGATCTGACTTGCGCGCCCTACCCGTAGTTGACGGTGAATAGTTTCCTGCAGAGACACTCTCGAGTAAGCGTGTAACGCCCAGTGTTCTGAACAAACGGAAGACGCATTTTAGGCTAGCCTTTTTTTTTTGTCGGTGACTATTACAAAGACAGTTATAATCTCGAATCGTTTCCCTATAGCAGACCACCTAAAAATTTTCATGACATTTTAGATCAATTAGGGAATGCTCTGTTAACAGGTTTTTCTTTCCACTTTTTTTTAAGTTTTTTAACCAAATAATAACTGAAAGAAGGATGAACTTCAAACGCATTTGAGATTTAAAACAACAACAAAAAATGGCATTCTTACAAACCACATCGTCTGTTTCTTTTGTGCTTTTTTGAATACCTCCGTTCTTGCAGACTTGGAAACATATTTATATATACATCATTACATAAAACAAAAACCAGTAACATTAATTGAATCAAAGCTATATTGTGCATTAGGTATTTTTTTTAAGCTTCAGAAAGTATCACATCTATCTAACATGTGGACACTTCTCAATATCAGGAGTTCGCACATTAATATTTTTATATTCTAAGTTCCACTTATGTCAACTGTAAGAAGACAAAACTGATAAGTATTATAGCGTCTGTGTAAAAAAAATAAAACGTTATCAACGTAAGAGCCTTAACAGAGAATATTACAACTTTCCAATATCACTTCTAAAATTTAAACCGGTGACAAGAAATAGCATCTGAAAACAGATGAGAAAATACACGAGTATAGCTTGACCTCCAACAGTACCCCACTGATGACACCACGTGGCCTTCACCCTATCAAACTATTACCACTAAGCCGACTTCATATCAAGCAACTTCCCCAAGGTTACATATATCGCTAAAAAAAACTTCTATCAGTTTATTCAACGTCTACGTAAAACGACACTTTTTTTTCTTTATAACATCAAGTTAGGCATTTACCCTTATTATTATTATTATTATACTCTCCTGAACGACCCTCTACTTCAGCTTTTATATATATATATATATATATATATATATATTTAGCGTATCTGTTCATTTTTGCCTCTTTTATCTCGAGCGTCATCAGTAAACCGATGTTGTTCAGTAACAGGTGTGGCCCGGTTATCTAATAAACAGAAACACGTTCTAGGCTAAGCTGTGGGAAAATAATTCTTTCCAGGGTAAATGATGTTTCATCTGGAAAACATTT